GGGACTAAGTTCGGACTGGCACCCAGGCTAGCATGAATGCAGTTCAGACAACCAATTAAATGGTAAATGGCCTTAAACAAACCATTTACACTACATTCAGTCATTCACACACACTGATTATTGTGGCTAGCTTCATTATAGCCTCAGCTGCTCTGAGGCTCCCTGACAGAAGTAAGGCTGCTGTAAACAGGCACCACCTCTGACCTCCATCAGTAGGCAATGCAGATTAAGTGGAGGAAACAACCACACTGAAAGATTAAACCGACAACCCTTTGACTACAGGGGAAACTCCTGCATCCTGTCATTGGGCGACACCACTGTCTTTCAATGACAGGACTCCAGCTGCTGTTGACTGTTAAAGAAAAGACCATTAAATGTCTCAGCTGTGATCATTTGTGAACTCAGACAGAAAATGTTCTGAAAACAAGAAGGTTGATTAGTTTGAGCTTAAAGCTACAGAATTTGTTTAGATTTGCTTTTGGTGTTTTCATCATCCTGATATTTAAATATTGCAGTGATCCACAGCAATAATAAAATCATCATAAAGGGACGACTCTCAGACAGAACTTAACTTCAACTCTTTTTATTCTAAGCCAAGCAGAGAAAAGGTTACAGAAATCAGTACTGAGGTTCTTTCCAGATAACAACACATTCGCAGCGTGAACAAAGAACTTTGCATCTTTTTATAGATTATAAGAATGATCCCCCAAAGATCTGAGAGGAGAAACAGTCTGAGATCAGAGCAGAGAAAGACCCCCACTGTCAGAGGAATCCAAGAACCAAAGCAGACAGAACAGATGAAGTGAGGAAGATGATGTCACTGCATCTCTGTGACACATTTCCTCTGTTTGTCATCACTCTAAAATGGATCTTAAAGCAAGAAGAAAGAATCTCATGGTTTTAAGATGTTTGTCCCAGATGCAGAAACAAGGAGCAGTTTAAGATGTTTATTAGGCTACACACAAATAAGATCGGTTCAGAACAAGAGCTGCAGGCGAGGTTCGAAATGTCAGTGTTCAGGGTTCTGCGGGAGGAAAGAGGAAACTGATTAAGACTGGAAAAAAATAAAGAAACTGTTCTGCTTAACACCACGTACGGATAACCTATCCAGGGAGGGTGAGTGGAGGAATGGTTTCTTTAACTCATGGCTTTCTGATGGGAGGTGGTGGCTGAGCGACAGGTGGGACTTAGGCGGGGGCCCGAGCAGCAGGCTTGAGGAGCAGCTGAAGGAACCAGTGTGAATCCAGGAAAGGGGTCTCTTGTCCGGCTCCGTAGTACAGAGGGGGGTCAAGGGGAACGCCAGAACAGAATCTAAGCAGTCAGTGACAGTCCTCTAAGCAAGGAGAGAGATGGGTGAGCAATCCAGAGCTCAATGAACAGAGGGAGACAGGTTAGAATGAGAAATCCAAAACATGAAGTTTCAGAGATCTGTCGACAGGCCAGAGGCATAGGCGTACCACTACAGTTTAACACTCTGGCGTCCTTCAGCTAACTGAACGTTCCTCTTAAGCTAAGCAGAGCAGCCTCAACAAGCCGCGGGCGAGGGGCCACGCCCACCTGTTAGCAACAACCACCTGTTGAAGAGAGTAAGTAGAGCACAGAACACCGAACCCTAAAAATGAAGGACTTTTAAAAATGTGTTTGATCCACTAACAAGCTGCTGGAAGCCTTTTGCTCTATTGTTCATTAAAACCTTTTATCTCCACCAGAGGGCGCCATCATCCAGTAGGCGGAGCTCTCCTTGTGCTCTGTGTTCCAGCATTGTGTCAATAATAAGTGTTGCTGTGAAGAGAACAATAGTCAGACTGAATGTTGAACATCAGCTAGTTTCTCCTGCTGATTTAAACCTTGTTGGACAGATGGAACATTGGCTGTGGATTATTCTAGCTGCTCTTTTCTTTGGTAAGATAGAAAGCTCAACATGTTTCCTCTTCAAACACTTGAACGATGATCAGTGAAAATTCTACCTACTTTACACTGAATAGAAATCTTTATTTTGTTTCATTTAATCAATCGTCTTTATTGATTCATCTCTTCCTCTGCATGTTCTGTTCTTCCTCAGAGTGTAAAGGAGACTCAGTGACGCAGACAGAAGGACATGTTGCTGCTGCTAAAGGAAAATCTGTGACGCTGGGATGTATTTTTGAAACCAGTGATCCATATCCTTATCTTTTCTGGTACCAGCAAAAGGAAGGCAGTTCTCCAACCTACATGTTGAATCGTTACTCAGGAACTGCAGCGAATGATCCAAAGTTCAGCACAGACAGATTTAATGCTGATCTCAACACAGGGACACAAAAGAAATCAGTAAATTTGACGATCCAGGATCTTCGTCTTTCTGACTCTGCTGTGTACTACTGTGCTCTGAGGCCCACAGTGACAGGAAACACCAGAACTCTGTACAAGAACCTGCAATACTCCACTACATCCACTAGAGGTCCTCAAACACTGTTCCTCCTCTATGGTTTGTTAGGATTCAGTCTGATTGTTTGTGCAGCTGAGAATAAAGCAGACATCAGAGTGTTTG